GTGAATTGTCGCTGTTGTTACAGTTTCTGCTGGAATGTAAGTTGCTCTATAGAATAGTTTCATCTTTCCATTGTGTAAAATTTAATTGACAAAACCATACAATGTGACTCGATTGTCATGGGTCTGCAGTGTGCTGAAGAAGCTCACCGTCCTGTTGATTGTGACACCGTTTCTAAGTGGATATTGAAGAATAGCGCTGAGTCTGAGAATATGAATTGGTACGTTGATTTATGAAATATATTTGAGTTATGTAGATGCTAAAGATGTATGGGATGTTTGGGATGTTGTGCTCGACCTCAAAGGGTGCTTATATTGTAAAAATTTTTAAAATATTTGGGTTCCTTATATTGTATGGGTAGTGCTGGCTAGCATTTTGTATAGCCAAAGGAAGTCAACATGGTGGATAAGTTTGCAGTTTTAACTATTAGTTTTAATCTTCCATCTCCTAGCATTAGGGTGCATGCTGCTTTACATTATGTATTGTTGCCTCTAAATTCCATATTGACTTTCAGGATTTTGGCAAATTCCAAGCCCTGTCCAAAATGCAAACGGCCAATAGAGAAAAACCAGGGTTGTATGCATATTACATGCACCCCGCCATGTAAATTTGAGTTCTGCTGGTAAGTTGACAAAGTGGTTGATTGTACCGAATGCCATCATGTCAGAAGTTTAAAATTATGCTTTTATTATCACTATACTTCCTGGAATCTAACTCTTAATTGAATTTAATGTTTTTAAATCTGAAGCGAAATAGAAATTAAGTGGATTTATTTTAGGTTTTGTCAGTGTATAAAAATCTGCTTTGTATTTTCTCTGTAGTTTTCTGTATCTTGTAATCTGATCGTCATATGAATCTGGTTAATTGTCGCTCACAATGAAATCTCAATATAAGTAGTTGTATTGTATAAATGCAGGCTTTGCCTTGGAGCATGGACAGAGCATGGTGAGAAGACAGGAGGCTTTTATGCTTGTAACCGTTATGAAGCAGCGAAGCAAGATGGCATTGTATGAGTTCTGTGCATTGTTTATGTTCCTGGCTGACAACTAATATGTCTATTTAATCTTTGAACACTGTTTTTGTCTTTCATAATCTTTCTGTGCAGTATGATGAGACTGAAAAACGCCGAGAGATGGCAAAGAACTCTCTGGAGAGATATACCCACTACTATGAGAGATGGGCGACCAATCAATCGGTATGTAAATTCTTATTCATTTAATTTTCACATGTTTTATTTAACTCCTCCTAAAGGGGAATTTAAGAAAGAGTTTTCAGCTGTCAAATTCAAATCCCTTGCTATGGAACAGAACATCTATTTAATGACTAATCTGAACTATTTCATATTTTGATGTTTAATGACTAATCTGAAACTCAGATGTTTTTAATTGTTCGAGTAAAAGTAGTAAAAGATATGAAAATCTATATTTTTGGTTGAGAGCTTTGAAAAATTAAGGAAGTGAAGCGGACTGATTTGAAAAATTAAAGAGACTATGAAACTTTGAGGTACATGTAGTGCCTGTGATGTATTTTTCGTAGAAAGAACTGTTGTTCCTCCAGTTAGGAGAATTCTACCAGCTCGTTTATATATCTGTTGGCTATGTTCGTTGGGGGCTTGGGTAATGTGACAAATCTGTTGTTGGAGTGACAGGTAGTTAATAAGTCGTGTAACTGCTGGAGCGAAGTCCTTTTCTAATTGTCTATGTCATATTAAGCATATCAATGAAATTAGGCTTGGGAAGGTTCATAATAAATTAATAATCATTGAGATTTGTCTTATCCATATCATCTGCCTGAAGTTTCATGTTTCGTTTTTGGTAAAATATATTTTTTATATTAGATAATGACCCCGAAGAAAAATAAGTTTTGTATATACTAAAAGCACATTGTTTATTCTATAACAATTTACAAGTTTTTTAACTGCTTGCTGCAGTCTAGGCAAAAGGCGCTGGCGGATCTTGAGAAGATGCAAACAGATGATGTGAGCTTACAGTGCAACACTTGCTGATGTAAATAAGAATCACAAGTATTGCTTAATGTCAAAAACGTGTGAAATATCTAAAATAATCATTGCTTGTTTTAATACGGACCGTGAATCCAGATTTTGTATCTAGTTAAAAGTTCAGGAAGTTTGATTAACTTATCATGATGATATTTTACAAGAGATAGCATATGTGCCCATATTGATTTTCTCTATTTTGGCAAGAGACTTCTAACTTTCGATGAATTTTCTTGCTTTTTATATTGTTGGGTTTCACTAAAGCTTGTGTTTATGGACTTCCCAGATTGAGAAGCTCAGTGACATACAGTGTCAGCCTGAATCACAACTGAAGTTCATTATAGAAGCATGGTTACAGGTAAAATCCATTCCACCCGTGGCCTTTCTGAGACTTTTGGATTTTTCTCACTAATTTTCTCTATGATCATAGATAGTCGAATGCAGACGAGTTCTAAAATGGACATATGCCTATGGTTTTTACATACCTGACCACGAGCATGGAAAAAGAGTGTTTTTTGAGTACTTGCAAGGTAACTTGATTTAGCTCACATTTAAAAATAACTTTGCTTTCAAAACTTTTAGTATTGATTCCCTGAGTGAATTACTCTGTACCTGTTTTTGCTGTTATTGGTCTTTTCCAATTGGGAACAGAACAAAAGTTGGGAAAACATTATAGGAAATTAGGAAAAAGATGGATGGGGGGCAGGGGAGAGGAATGTTCTTCCTGCAAACGTGATCTTTGAAATGAAAAAGTTTCCGGTTCTAGATAGCGATTGCGGTTACCAATTATGTTCATGCATGAAGTGAGAATAAAAGTTTAAACAACCATTAATCTTTGGTCTTTTCCAATTTTTGGATATTATATGGAGGGGGAGTAATTAGTGATGGTTAGATCCATAAGTAGTTCATACGTGCATTGATGGATCTTGTCGTGATTTTATAGAAACATCATGGAGTCTTAGTAAAATAGGGAATGGTTTAGGATTTTCCCTATGTGAGATAATGTGGACTATATAGTCAAGCGTCACTCATAAGAAATTGGTCAAGCTCCTTAACCCAAACCTTAACCAATTTTGTCAGGGTTCGATTCCATCTTTGGCCACCTTATTTTAATTTGTCAATAGGTATAGGGACTTTTGTTTTTTACACGCTTTATTCTGCACAAATACATCATTTTATTTCTTCTCTTATTTTATCATACATTTAGGCGAAGCTGAGTCGGGCCTTGAAAGACTTCATCAGTGTGCTGAAAAAGAGCTGCAACCATACATAGATGCCAAAGGTCCAAGTGAAGATTTTAATGAGTTCCGCACAAAACTGGCAGGTTTAACAAGGTACTTTCCAAACATACAGAACAAACTGATAAATGAGTGACATGGTATGTTTTATATGGTCTTGACAAGTCTAAATAGTAGTAGCTGTTCCGAAACAGTTTCAAGGACATTTAGTTATGACTGACCCGCTAACCCAAACTTAGTGCTGAGTAAAAGAGTTTAGAGAAAACTTTAGGAAGTTTTTATTCATATAGTTGGCTCTGCGTTTTATGAAAGAAGCTAATAACATTTTGTTACCTGGAAACGAACAGTGTTACCAAAAACTATTTTGAGAACTTGGTTCGAGCACTGGAGAATGGGCTATCGGATGTGAGCTCGCATGATGCATATGATCGAACCTCAAGTTCAAAGAGCTTAGGTGGGAAGACTAAGGGATCGACTTCTAAAGCCAGCAGCTCCGATTCAAACCATTGGTCTTGTGAATATTGCACGTATGTAAATCCAAGGTCAACCACCATTTGCCAAATGTGTGAACATGGCCGGTGAAATGTCAGCAAACTGGCATTAAAGACTGTAATAGTAATGTTTGGTCGCTTTTGGTCATAAAAATGATCAAGCGTCGTGTAACTTTGTATGTTTTCTAGTATTTGGAATAAACGGATCCAATAAATTGGATTAGATTGGCCATGATTGATTTGCCAATGATGACAAAAGCGACAACATGAGAGGTGAATTATAAGTTCTTACAAGATAATTGTAAAAGTTATGTGCTTGCATTACATGCTCTCTCCCGCTTTCATTTTTCTACATGATGTTCTATAAAGCTTTTTTTTGCTTCACTTTTTTACAGACCATCTATTTTTGTTCCAGTCAGGGGTTGAGCCAAGGTCGACCATCAGCACAAATATACCGGGAGGAGGTTTTCGGATCCATTGTATTGCTGAGGTCCATTTACTTGGGTCTATCTTCTCAAAAGTCAAAGTGAGGTTCTCAATTTGACTGACGCTCGGAAGCACTCTTGCAAAAATGTCCGAGCAAACAAGTTGAGAATCCTCTTCTCTTTTCAAATTAGGTTTCGAACTCGATCTCTTAACACCACCCAAAGAGATATCTACTTATAAAGACAAATGCAAAAACCTACAATGAAGTCCATGTGGGATCTCCATTCTTTTGAAAGAGACTTGAGTCGGATTAGTGATTTATGAATGTCTCTTGTTTTGTATTAGAATTTGAACACTCACCAACTTTTGTTGAAATTTATGCATTAAAATCTAAAAAACCAAAGTGCCCACCATTGTTTACAGAAAGCCCACATAAACCAAATGAAAAGCTAATGGGCCCAATATGAAACCCAAAATATAATGAAGGGAAGAATACGAACGAAGCTCATACACTTTCACCGGAGTGAGCAAGTCTCGGCCGACGACGACATCAATCATCCCATAGCATCGAATCCTCTTCATTAGACAAGGAGAGAATCGTCAGATTTCCTGAAACCAATAGCCGTTGGACCAAACAGATGCCAAAGTCGAAGAGATTGTGATTAAGGTCAATAAAATTACATGAAACTCCTCTCTCACGCATTTCGTCGAATACTTTGAATGCATCTATTGTTCTTCCATCTTTGCAAAGCTGATTCGTCACACAGTTATTAAGTATAGAGATTAAGGAAAACACCATCTTCATGCATCTTCTCGTACATCTCAAACCCTTGTTTCTTAATCCCGATTTTGAAATAACCCATGAATCAAAAACCGTGTAATTTTACAGTGAGAGAAATGACAGCTAGAGAAGAGGAAAGTTTGGTGGCTATGAACGGAGAAGAGGAAGAGCATGATTCGAGGGAGAGATTTCTACTTAGATACTTTTTGCAAGAATGGAAGCTTGTTAAATCCCTTCTCGATGATATTGTTGCAAATGGCCGTGTCATTGATCCTTCTTCTGTTCAGAAAATCCGCTCCATCGTACGTTTGCTTCGTACTCTTTTCACTTCATCTTCTTGTGTGATTCCTATTTTTCAGATATTTTTGTGTTGTATTGTAGATGGATAAATACCAGGAGCAAGGTCAATTAGTGGAACCTTACTTAGAGAGTATAGTTTCTCCATTAATGTTTATCATCCGTTCGAAAACAGTTGAATTAGACGCGAAACCTGATGAAATTCTCGATATTATTAAGCCGATAAGCATTATTATCTATGCTTTAGTTACTGTCTGTGGTTACAAAGCTGTTATCAAGTTCTTTCCGCATCAAGTATCAGATTTGGAACTCGCTGTGGCGCTTCTGGAGAAGTGCCATAGTATGACTTCTGTTTCGTCGTTGAGGCAAGAAAGCACTGGAGAAATGGAGGCTAAATGTGTTACTCTTTTGTGGCTTTCTATCCTTGTGTTGGTCCCGTTTGATATTTCTTCTGTTGATACAAGCATTGCAAACGATAAGAGCTTTGGTGTGGACGATCTGGCTCCTTTGGTATTGAAGATTTTGGGTTTCTGTAAGGACTATCTGTGCAGTGCTGGCCCTATGCGCAGGATTTCGGGATTGCTTCTCTCTAAGCTTTTAACGCGTCCGGATATGGGAAAGGCATTTGCAAGGTCTGCTCCTATCACCATATGTGTTTCAGTTTTGAGTTTCATTTATGTGTTTGTTCCGCTCTGAACGCTTGTCTTCTATCAACAAAATTGTTCGGATTACGCAGATGGACTAACTTTTCTTTGTTGCGCTGTGGCATTTCTGTTTCAGTTTTTTCGAGTGGACCCATGAAGTTTTATCTTCTAAGGAAGATAGTGTCGTGAACAACTTTCGCTTGATTGGTGTGATGGAGGCTCTGGCTGCCATTTTTAAGGTTTCTTTTCTGTAACCTGGAGTTATTGACTTTGTTTTCAATAATGGTCCATACTGGAACACGTTAGACATAAATATAGATGGCAGTAAAGTAACCGATTTGATTTGCATTGTTTTATCTTGTAGGAAATATTGCTGGTTTCGATTACTTAAGTTTTCGTATTTTGCATCTTACTTTTATATGTCTTGCTAACATTGGCAGACTGCTAGCCGGAAAGTGTTGCTAGATGCCCTTCCTGTTGTTTTGAATGATGTGATCGTGCTAAGCAAATCAAATGGAGCAACTAGAAGTCCTCTGCTTCGCAAGTATTTGATCAAGTTAACTCAGAGGATAGGGCTTGTTTGTCTTCCTCATCGGTCACCTTCCTGGCGCTATGTGGTAAATATCTTTTAGCATGTATAATAGTAGTGTAAATAGCAACTCCCTCTTCATGGGTTTAATATTTTAGAATTTCTGGTTATGCTCGTAATTGAAATAATCTCATTCTCAAGTTAGTCATCTGAAACTTGTTTATTGAATGACCATGCAGGCTCAAACCGCCTCCCTTTCTGAGAATATATCTACGAGTTTGACCCAAGAGCCGCCTGATCATGCTATCTTTGCCGTCTCGCAACCAGAAAGTTCGGATGACCAAGAAGATGAAGATATGGATGTTCCTGAAATCTTAGAACAGATAATTGAAATGCTACTCTCTGGTTTGAGAGACACGGTATGTTTAGTGGGTGAGATACTACTGTTAGGCTGATAACTAGAGGTGGTTACATCTCAACTTGTACAAGTAATTGACAAAATGATACTCTGAGTAAAAATACGCTGATATGCACCAAGTATAGACTGGAGTGACTAGTTAACACTTATAACAGATATATTTCGTGGATGCTATAACTATTTGTATGCCCACATGAAACTTTCAGCTGCCAACCAGAAAATCTCACATGTTTATAGTTTTTGCAAGCATTTTCCTTTCGAAAGTTTTTACTATATTCTGAACTGTGTAGGACACTGTGGTTCGTTGGTCTGCTGCAAAGGGTATAGGTCGTGTAACTTCACGACTAACATCTGTTCTTTCTGAAGAAGTGCTGTCATCTGTATTAGAACTGTTTTCACCAGGAGAGGTACTCAAATTAATGGATATCTGGCATGTTCTAAAATCCAATCAAAACAGGCTGACAGTTATTATATTCAGGGAGATGGATCATGGCATGGGGGTTGCTTGGCTTTAGCTGAACTGTCTCGCAGAGGGTTACTGTTGCCTAGAAGTTTCCCACAAGTCGTCCCAGTTATTGTTAAGGTCGTACTCTTTCCCAGTCACAGCATTACTTATTTCTCTAGTCAATGCATATGAAGCAATGGCATCACTCACCCAAATTATGCAGAAGCTGTATGGATTTACATCTAAATATCATTTACAGGCACTCCATTATGATGTCCGTCGAGGTCCGCACAGTGTTGGATCTCATGTGCGTGATGCAGCTGCCTATGTTTGTTGGGCATTTGGGCGCGCCTATTACCACAAAGATATGAAAAATGTCCTGGATCAGCTTGCTTCAGATTTATTGATAGTGGGTTCCTTTGATAGAGAGGTACTAATCACTCTTTTGACTATAATTTGTTTGCCATGTCTTACTTGATTTGGGGAATTATGTTTTTTTAGATCTCTTCATTGCGTAAAGTTTATTGATTTCTTTTATCAGGTGAACTGTAGAAGGGCTGCTGCCGCTGCTTTCCAAGAGAATGTTGGAAGGCAAGGAAATTACCCTCATGGGATTGACATAGTGAACATAGCTAACTATTTTTCTCTTTCTTCTCGGGTGAACTCGTACCTTCAGGTTGCTGTTTCCATTGCTCAATATGAAGGGTATCTATATCCTTTTTTGGATGAATTGCTATACAACAAGATCTGCCACTGGGTATGTTCTGTTTGATATTGGTTCGCCTCTGGTTTCTCTGCATATCTAAAACCTCTTTAAGGCCCTGCTTGTATTTAATGGTAAAACGGTTTTTTCTTAGGTGGTCGACAGGCTTTTAAAATTCAACAACCGATAAACTAGAGCCAATAGTTTGATTGGGTTCTGTATCAAATCGTTGTTCCTGGTTGTATCTTCCATATTATGTTAATTATTCAATCTTATCATTTCAGGATAAAAGCTTGAGAGAACTTGCCGCAGAAACTCTTGCTGCTCTTGTTAAATACGAGCCTAAGCACTTTGCCAACTATGTGCTGGAGAAACTAACTCCTCGTACCCTTTCAAGTGATTTGTGCATGCGCCATGGTGCAACATTGGCAGCTGGAGAGGTTGTGTTAGCTCTGCACCAGTGTGGCAATGTTCTTTCTGCTGGTTGGTACCATCTAATTTTTCTGCTTTGACTTTTCTGGCATCTTTGCATATGCGATTACAAATCATTTTTAGTATGGAAAACCAAATATATGGGAACCATCTTGGTATTCTCGACCTTATCATCATAGATGTACTCATCAGACTGTATTCAGCCCGATTCGAGCATCATTATCCCTTATATTCAATGTTCCTGAATCCTGATGCACTTAATTTTTACAGAGAGCCATAAGCGTATGGCTGGGATTGTCCCTGCCATTGAGAAAGCACGGCTTTACCGTGGGAAAGGTGGAGAGATAATGCGACTGGCTGTCTCACGGTTTATCGAGTGTATCTCGTTATCACATGTGACATTAACTGAGAGAACAGAACGGATCCTGCTTGATACCCTCAATGAGAATTTAAGACATCCCAATTCTCAAATACAGGTACCTACATTTCTAAATATTATGAAGTTATTTGTTTTCATCCGGTTAGCATAATTCATTAGTTAAATGGGTTTCACTTATTATACAGAGTGCAGCTGTCAATGCTGTTAAACAGTTTGTGCAATCCTATCTCGTTTGCAATGATAAGATTGCTGTTGATTTAGTATCAAAACACTTGACACATCTAACCGACCCAAACGTAGCTGCTCGGAGAGGTTTTGCACTTGCACTAGGTGCCTTGCCATGTGAAATATTGACTGCACAGTGGAAGGATGTAGTTTTGAAGCTCTGCAGTGCATGTCAGATAGAGGTAAAGAAGACGGCATTTGACTACATCGGTCTCGAATCCTTAAAAAAACAGTATAAATTTTATTGAATTTGACGGATGTTTTTTTTTTTTCCCAAGCAGGCTAATCCTGGAGATAGAGATGCTGAGGCACGCATGAATGCTGTGAAGGGACTCATATCCGTGTGTGAAACTCTTACTCAGCGAAGTGCTAGTGATCCTGAAAACGATGACCTGTCTCTCTTTATTCTTATCAAGACTGAAGTGGTGGATACTTTACTGAAAGCTCTTGATGACTATTCAGTTGATAACAGAGGTGATGTTGGTTCTTGGGTTCGTGAAGCTGCAATCCATGGACTTGAGAAATGTACATATATTCTCTGTAAGAAAGTACGAACAAATTCAGCGGATGATCATAACAATGAATCATCCTCGCTTTTTGATTCAAATCTCGCAAACCATTTGATTGGAGGTATTGTGAAACAAGGAATGGAGAAAATGGATAAATTAAGAGAAACTGCTGCAAAAGTTCTTCAAAGGATTTTGTATCACGAAACTGTTACCGTCCCTTTCATACCTCATAGAGAAACACTGGAAGAAGTTATTCCCAACAAAGCAAGCTTACAATGGGCGGTATGCAGATCCTGGAGCCTTGGGTTGCTTCTTCTGTTTCAAAGTGTTTATCTGAATATAAGTTATTTTATTCTTTTGTAGGTTCCGGAATTCTCTTTCCCACGTTTTGTTCAGCTCTTGAAATTCCGTTGTTATAGCAAACAGGTAATGTCTGGATTAGTAATTTCTATCGGAGGATTACAAGAGTCGCTTAAAACAGCTTCGCTCTCTGCATTACTGGAGTATTTGAGGGAAGAAGATGAAGCTAAAGACCTCAAACAACAACAATCTAGAGAATCTGCGATTTGCGACGACATCCTCTGGATACTTCAAGAGTACAAAAAATGTGACCGAGTTATCGTACCCTGTCTAAAGGTAAATACACCATTAACCTGTAGCTTCTATGTGGTTATGTCTTAACACTTTTCTTTTGACACAGACAATTCAAGAGCTCTTGGACAGGATTTTTCGGAATCAAGAGGTATGTTTTAGAGTTTGACTTGTTTGGATTAGATTTTGCCAAAGCTTGTAGATTCCACGTAAAGCTTATCTGTGATTTGATTTCAGGCTTATACGTTGAGTTTCTACACGGGACTCATGGATTCCTTAGCCATCGAACTAAGAGCCTCAAAGAAATTCGAAAAGGTAGACGCAGGCGTTGGAATACTTGGGTCTATTGCCTCTGTTTCGGAACCCATCAGCACACAAGCGTTCTCTCAGCTTATATCATTCCTTGCCCACCAATACCCAAAGGTTCATGTCACTTCTCTGCATCTGAAACTCTGTTTAGAAAATTCATGTTGGTTACATGGCTTTTTTGTTTTCACTTGATCCAGATCCGAAATAAGGCAGCTTTTCAAGCCTATCTTGCGCTGCTACAAAACAAAATCTTAGTACCAGAGGACAAGATTGAGAAAGTGAAACATATAATATCTGAGACTTGTTGGGATGCTGACATGGAGTCAACCCAATCTCAGAGGTTAGAATTGTGTGAATTGACTGGCTTAGATCATGGAGTAGTGTTCAAGACCAGAATCAGAAGGGTGACTAGGGATAGAATTACGGCTTTGGACGAGAATGCGTCTTACTCAGCTCTGGTCGATTCCTCTGGCTTCTGATTGGTAAGCATATGCATTGTTAATACTTAATAGTGTATAGGGACTTTTGTTCGAAATAGGCTTTAGTGTGCTAAAATTTATCATTTTTTATTTCTCTTCTGTTCTCATGCATTTAGGTGAAGCGGAGTCAGGCCTTGAACGAATTCATCAATGTGCTGAAAAAGAATCGCAAACATACTTAGACGCGAAAGGTCCGTGTACATATTGTAATGAGTTCCGCTCAAAACTGGATGGTTTAGCAAGGTACTTTCCAAACCTATAAAATACTGAAGCTAAATAAGTAACTTAACAATGTTTTTGCTCTTTACACGTCTAAATTTTAATAGCTGTTCTGAAACAGCTTAAAGGAAAGATAGTTATGTTCTGAAACAGCTTATTTTTTCTTCTTCTTAACTTAGAACTGACAATGCTTAAGGACGTATGCATTTGATTTAATTGGCTCTGCGTGATGAAAGAAGCTAATAACATTATTATTGTGAATGAACAGTGTCATGGAAAACTATATTGAGAACTTAGTTCGAGCGCTGTATATTGAGCTATTGATGTGAGCTCACATGGTGCATAAGATCGAACCTCAAGTTCAAAGAGCTTAGGGGGGAAGACTAAGGGATCAGAGCCAGCAGCTCCAATTCAAGCCATCGGTCTTGTGAATATTGTACTTATGTAAATCTAAGTTCGACCATCATTTGCCAAATGTGTGAACCTGGCTGGTGAAATGCCAGCAAAAAAAATAGATTGAGAAAAGTAGAGGGTAGAAGAGATGTCGATTCCAAACAGATTGTCTAAAACCGACATAAACGTTTGTTCGGAAAGTCTCGCAAGAATCTCCAAGCAAACATGTTGATAATCTTGTTCTCTTTTCGCCATTCAAACAACGTCTGAACTATTAACACTGAAAGAGAGATATGTTTATAAATGACTACTTTAAAAACCTAGTAAGAACATCATACCGAAAATCACAAGGAAAGGTAAAGCAAGATAAAACAAAATATAAAAATACAAAGTGAAACCAGACTTGGAGTAGATGTATAAACACATGAAGATGTATTTTACGAAAAGGATAAAGACGCGGTGCAGTTTCGGGTTATTCATGTGGAATCGTGGGCCGAAACCACGAGACTCGATCCTCGATCTCCATTCTTTTGGAAGAGAAAACTTGAGTCGGATTAGTTCTTTCACTGGAAGTCTTACGAAGATTTCCTCTATGACGTCGTCTGGTAGTGATGATGGAACAATCACTTCCATCTCTTTCTTCTTTAGATATGAAAAAATGGATGAAGGCAACTCGTTTTGTATTGGAATTTAGAGTTTAGTAGTTTAAATTTAGTTTTATGTAAAAAAGAAAGAGTTTAAATTTAGTTCATATTTAGATTTTTACTTTTTAGTAATGTTAATTTAAATTTTTGGACAAATAATCCAGTTTTTTTTATTTTTATAAAAAGCTATAAAAAGATATGAAATATAATTAGACCAGATTTTCAAATATTAATTATTATTTTTGGCAGGAAATCATACCTATTACTAAAAGAAAAGTTGGAACAGAGAATTAGATAAGCAATAATCTAATATAATTATTACATGTTACCTTTATCAAAAAAAAAAATGTTACCTTTATCATTTATTATGTTTACTTTTTTAAAATTTATTTTTTATTAATATCATCAATACTACTAACAAATTATTAGGATATTAATATTTACAATTTGTAATCAAGTAGTATTTTTTGCAGTTAATTATTTCCAATATAAATTTTAAAAAATGAAAAGAAAATCAAAACATTTATTATTTCCAAAATATAATTAAATTTTTATTATACAAATTTGAAAGGTAAATACATTTATAATAATTAACTAGGGATGGGCATTCGGATTTTTGGGTTTAGGGATATAGAACCCGTTTAGATATTTTAAACCTTCAGGTCGGGTTCTGTTCGGTATGGATTATCCGAACTTATCCACAAAAAAGCATATATTGGTAAATATAAATTATTATAAATAATAATGTAAGGAGAATCTTTATATTTTTGATTTTTTATAATTTCATGGAACATATATATATATATATATATATATATATATATATATATATATATATATATATATATATTACTATGGTAAATATACATTATTATAAATTATAATTACAGTTTAAAACAATCGGGAAAAAATGAATCTTTGTTAAAAAAAAAGAGATTTATAATTATAATTACAATTTCCACATTCAAAATAATAATAAATATGAAATTTGACTTATCCAATAAAAGCCCAATAACTAGTTTAAATGAAGCCAAATTGATTATAATTAGCCTCATCCAATGCTTTTGGGATTAAAAGTCCACGTAAAATGAAAGTAATTTATCCCACATCGGTTTTGAAAGCAAAAAAAGACTGAAATTTTTATTATAAATAGTTAGACATGCTGAGTGTTGAACATATATATTTTGTCAATCCTTAGGCTGAAGGCGGCAACAACCTCGACGAACGAGAAGGTGTAGACGCTCAAAAACAGTAGGAGGCAATAGCTTTGAACAAACAATTGATTAAAGAAGTCTAGAGACTAAAGGTGGCATCAGATGAGGTGATGCAAAACCCCGCCTCACTTGCTGCCACATTTAGTCGTTGGACTTTTGCAATCAATTATTCGCTCAAAGCCATTGCCTCCTTCACCCTGTTGACCGTCTACACTCTCTTGTTCGTCGAACGTTGTTCCCACCTTCAACCTTTTGATTGTTGTACACAATTGTTTGCAAAAAGTGTTTTTTGTGAATTTTAGAGCTTTATTTGTCTCTCAGTTTTCCTAAAAATTCTAAACCAAAATAGACTAAAGTTTTGGGGATGGACAATTTAATATGACGTTAATCTTGTTGTTTGGACATTGAGAAATCGGAAGTGTGAAACTAAATTGAACGCTGAAATTTTTTATTGTTTGCGCTCCTTAATCTTTTGTCGAGATACTTTTTGTATCACTTTTTAAATTATCCATATTTTCCTAAATCAATTTTCAGAAGAAAAATAAAATCAATATGCTAAATGTAAATGTGAGTATCTATGTTTTCCTAAGTAAAATTTCATCAAAAAAACATATGAATATTTTAAAAAAAGAAATAAATTAAAATGGAAAGCAAATGATGAATCCACATGATATATTGAATATAGATCATGACATATATCCTAGTGGTTTGTACTAATGTTGTGATTTTGTTGATCGCGTGTGTCGTTAACCAAAAAAAAAGAAAACAATCTACATTCCTTGTATATTAATTGATAAATATTTTGGAAATCTAACATATAGTTTGTTAATAATTCATGAACCATGTCATGAAAGCTCTTAAAGTTTAGATAGGTTCGTGATACAAAGTCCCAAGATCTCAATATAATGCTTCGTTTTCCAGGATTATAGAGTAATGTTTCAGAAATTTAGTAAATAACTGAGTAAAATTATTAATGAAATTTCTTTCAATTTTGAGAACCAATGGGCCGAGATCTCATATCTAGGAATTCATCACAGACTCCATCAAATGACGGCTTGAGAGTCAAGTAGTTAGCATCTTTTTTTTTTTGTAGTTTTGGCCTCGGTTTTGGCCAAAAGTAGACTACAACCTAGGAAAAGTATCTGAAATACTATAACTTTGGCTTTCCACAAAAATTAATTGACCAGTGGTCTCTTAATGACGACTTGCATTATCTAGCATGAGATACCCAAATGTCGTGGGTAAAAAAACTCCAGCATGAATCTGAATTGAGCCCGCCCATCGGAAACTCGAAATTGAGAAAATCTTATGGATTTCGAGTATAGTGGATAAGCCCAAAATAATTCGATGAATTATGGGTTAGTTTGTAGATACCCGAATTTGAACTTGAAGTTTTTCTCTCTTTGTTTTATATATGTTCATCTAAAATTATATATACACCAGGTAAGAACCTGTGGTATGCAAGATTGAATTTTCTGTCATTCAACTTTGATAAATTCTTTATATATTATATATATATTTTCAAATACGTTTGAAGACTACAAAGTTGTTGTATTAGATTTTTAATACATATTTATATTTTTGTAAGTTTGGAGTATTGGAAAATTAACAGTATTTTTCCTATTCTTATTTATGTTTAATTGGTAAAAGATTATTAAAATTTATTTTGTAGATAATTTTAATTGTGCTTTCAAATTAATTATCTTGTAAAGATGTCCTTCCCTTAATTGCATAATTCAATTATAATTATATATATATATATATATATATATAATTGATTGAAATTTCGGGTAAGTAATCCCAATCCAATTGCAATTCAATAGAAAACCAAACGAAAGAAGTAAATCCCAACCCAAATATCAAATATGAAACCAATCTAGTATGTAACCAAGTTAAAAACAATATAATAAATTATTTGTTGATGTGATGCATATTTCTGAGGCTCACAAAGTCAAAATAAGATTTGCTTTATGCCTTGGGCGATTGAAGATATATATAACTTGGAAATGCCATTGACTCTCCCAATGAGCTCAAGAGAAGCAATTCTTAGGCAAAAGCTCTGTTTCACAATACAAAGTCGAATCAGTGCCTAATTCTTATACTAGATTTTGATCTCTTAATAATATATGTGCACGTATTGTAGTCTCATACTGTAAATGTATGTTAGTTATGTTTCTAATATTATAGAAATCTATATATAATAGTAATCTCAATAAATGCCTTTTGCACCACTGAACGGTTGCATTTTTTTAATCGCAATCTTCCATTTAAATATTTACCATTGTTTTTTTCGGTTGCATCTTTTTTATCGCAACTTTCCGTTTAAATATTTACGGTTATTTTTTCCGGTTGTGTCTTTTTATCGCATCTTTTTATTGAAATATTTACAGTTATTTTTTTACGGTTGTGTCTTTTTCTCGCATCTCTTCGTTAACATATTTACGGTTTTTTTATAGTTATATTTGTTCAATTACAGTAGTATCTTTTCAGTTTACGGTTATTTTTTTCGGTTGTTTCTTTTTATCGCATCTTTTTGTTAAAATATTTACAGTTGTTTTTTTCAAAAAGTTGCAATCTGAATAAATATTTTCTATGGTTGCATCTTTTTATCGTAACATCTCATAAATAATTACGATTGTTTAGTTGAACCACTGCGACATTTATTTTATTTAACGAATAATTGTAATTTTGATTTATTTTATAAATCGTTAAAACATTTAATTTTATTAAAACTAAATATATATATATTTTACGGTTGAATTATTTTTAGAAAGTTGCGATCCGAATAAATGTCTTCTACAGTTGCG